GATCCGTGGGATTTAAAATATTTTTAGATTTTATCTGCATTTCATCTCTCGTTTGCGGTGAATAATACCAAAATATATTTGGAATACTGCCGCAATACAACCAAAATAGAGGCGCGCTGGCGGAGGAATATATCACGCTTTTATTGGAATATTCCTTTGTTGGATTCGCAGATCCGCGGTTGTATCTAGCTCCACAGCATCTACGAATGATTAAACGACATTTGCATAAGATCCGTGGGATTTAAAATATTTTTAGATTTTATCTGCATTTTATCACTCGTTTGCGGTGAATAATACCAAAATATATTTGGAATACTGCCGCAATACAACCAAAATAGAAGCGCGCTGGCGGAGGAATATATCACAGTTTTATTGGAATATTCCTTTGTTGGATTCGCAAATCCGCGGTTGTATCTAGCTCCACAGCATCTACGAATGATTAAACGACATTTGCATAAGATCCGTGGGATTTAAAATATTTTTAGAAAAATATTTTGATAATTTATCTTAATTTTAACTCTGATTTGTGTCGAATAACACCAAAGTATTCCCGAACAGCAATAATATTAACAAAATACCTGGAACGATTGTTGCAACTAATAAAACAGAAATACTACAATAAAACAACAACAATACGACAACTATTACTGCAAGAATACTGTAACGATTGTTGCAACTAATAAAACAGAAATACTACAATAAAACGACAACAATACTACAACTAATACTTCAAGAATACAATAACAATATTAACAAAGAAATAAGTCTACTGATTAGGGTTTTGTACCCACAAACAAATATCTTGGGCAAGCTCTGCCCTAAATTTTGGCATTTCAGTCTGCCAGCTACTATCCTCACTCCAATCATGTCGATAGATTTGTACTAATTTTTCCATAAATTTACAGACAAACATTCCACAGTCAACACTGTTGGTTTGTACGGGAACACCTCTAACCAGTGTAATTTTCCATTTCCCGGGTTTAGTATGCTGGGTAACGTCAACAGAAGCTGTATGCTGGGTAACGTCAACAGAATCTGTATGTCTCCAACATAATCTGTATGCTGGGTAACGTTAACAGAAGTTGAATGATGGGTAACAAAATCATGAGGACTCTTCCTATGAGGGGAGGCTGGCTGTGGATCATCTACTCCGATCTCTTCGCCTTTATGAGTTGGAATATTTTTCAGATTTATCAAACTTATGTTGCAGCACCGACATTTGTCCCTGCAAACTCGATACTCCAACAGTTATTGTATTCAAGGTTCCCTCAAGGTCAGTGAACCATTTTTCTTGCATTTTTTCTCTTGGCCTTTAAGCAGCTCGACTATTGATTCTATGCTTCTATTTATTGTGGTATACAATGACTCAAGGGCGATGTCCCCTGAATCAACTGCCCCATATCAAATGATACAGGTGCCTCTGCTCTGCCCTGGACTTGTGTCACAGAAACTGGACCAGGTAATCCTTCATCTGGATTGGATAATAAATTGAACTCATCCTCTTTCAGATCCAAAAATTTATCATGAACCTGCGAGTAATTTCAAAAAGAATTGCTTTGATCATTAATAGTTTCAAAACGACATAATAATTTAATTGGAAATTAAAGATATATGTAACTTGCCTGATCAGGAGTCAACATCTTAAAAGCTATATCCAGTTGGGATGAGCTCAAGCTTACAGTTGTTGGCCACCTCAACATTCGAGGTCTAGCCTCAGGATTCGCAGGAGTAATCAAAGAAGTGTGCTCATAAAACCAGAGCTGTGTGAAAAAGACATATTTAG